TGGGTTTCTTCAGCCTTTTGTGATCTGTCAGTGTCTTCTGGTGTGTGTGCAGGCCTGTGGGGAGAAAGTGTGAAATTTCAGATTTTCCTTTGCGCTGGGAAGGATTGCCTACAGCATCCCGCTGGAGCCCTCGGTTAACTCTTCGTTGCAACACCTGCATCTCTCGGTAACTGCTTTTTGGGATTAATCCAAAACGCAGATCAGCTGTCTTGCATAAAAGTGTAACTGAGCTTTAGAGCAAAATTCTGTAAAACGGGCCTATTCTGGAATGGGACCATCTGATGAATTTGACAAAGTTTCCAAGCCTTTGTAATCCAGAGTCTCCAGGATGCTAGGCCCCAGTTTTCCAGGATACCGTTGAGTTCTGTGAAGTCCCGCTGGTGTGATCACATGCTGAACAGGTTAAAATCCAAAACGTGTTAGCGGTATGATCAGTTAACATGTCCTTTACTGAAGCACTGAAGTCTTTGATTACAATACAGGGAGGTTTGAGAAATTAAATCAATTCAGTGTTGGGGTTTTTTTTAAGTCTTTAGATCTTGTTGGACAGAACGAAGTCATACTGACTTGCATTACATTCCCAGTCTTTATCAGCTCTCCTCTCTGGGCTTGGCCGATGGCTCATGATTACACGGCTCAGAATCTACTCACTGCACTCAAACTGGGGTGACTTCAGCGCTTTCCACTCTGTTTCAATTCCCTCAGAGATCTAAAACTACTCAGAGTGTTTTCTAGTCCTGCTGGGTGTTGTGTATGTAGACTTCCTTTTATTAGGCTACTTTGGAGGGGGAACAAGCCCAAACCCCTTGTAGCTTCTTTGTTTCTCCCTCCCTTGGCGTTGCGCTCTGGGGATGAGTTATTTTCTAGTCGTTATCTCAGATTGGGCTAAATCACTTTTAAACCACAGGTCAATGATGTATGCGTCTTTACAGCTTTCCCCATGGAAGAGTAGGTCCCAGGATACTGCATCTAAGCTCCCTAAAAATGAACTTGTTTTCAGCTGTCTGTGGACCTCTTAGAAGTGGAAAACAACGTAGCTCATCCAGCCAATCTAGAAAGGCTACTAATCCAAGTAAAATAACGCATTCAACAACTCCGCTTTCCCCCTGGTAAGACTTGGGAGGCCTATGCTTAAGACTAAATCTGTTTAAAACTTAGGCTATCTTATTTTAGCATTTAATGGTAAAGTTATATATCCATTAAAAAAAAAAGGTGAGGGGATCCCTTTACCTAAAGATGTGCTCGAATGCGTTTTGTTCCTTTAAAGATGTAATCCTGATGTGTCTGATGGGGTGGGGGGGTCAGTTAAACAGCTGTGCGAGAGACGTGGTAGTGGCTTGGTGCACAGAGAACTTCTAGTGGGCCGGTTCAATGTTTTTCATGGTAAATTTTGTTAACTTCTTCCTTTAGAAAGAAAAAAAAGAAGACAACCACCCCTCTCAGGCGTTTCCCTGTTGTGCGGTTCAGGTTCTGCTTTACGCTCCGGAGCGAGGCCTCGGGTTATTTGCGCTCTGTTTTGTTCCCACTGCCAGAAAGCCTGAAGGATCGTCGGGTACCTGGTGGGCAAAGGCGGCGTGGGGTTTGGGCGCTGGGCCTTTGCCTCCCGCTCACGCCCGCTGTAGGGCGGTAGATGTTTGAACGGGTGATGCGGACCATACCAACCCTGTGAACGCGAGGTGCAGGGTGGGAGTGAGCAGTGCTTTTGTGGGAAATCCTCTTAATTTGAACTGCTGGTGTTCCCTACCGTACAAGAGTAACCCTGTAGATAGAGCTGATCGTTCACGGCCGGAGTCAGAACTGACTGTTGCAGGAGTAACGCAGCCCGCGTGCAAGGCGTGTGTGCAGCTCGCGCTTTGCCGTAGCTGGAGTCTTTGGCCTGAGCCCTTGCCAGCGCACGGCAGCGTCCCTCCCAGAGCCCGTGCGGGGACTGTGCCTGAGGACGGGAAGGCAGCGGAGGGTCGCGGTATACTCGCGTGATCTGATATGTTTTCTGGTACTGTGGGTTCATTTTGTTGCTTGCTTGATGCTCTCTGGAGTAATGAGTTTTAAAGAGTAACATTAAACGCATCCTTTCTTTTGTTTGTTTTTTTGCAAAGGCTTATGTGAGCTTTTCTTGTACGAGTGCATATACGGAATTTTAAGACTGATAGTTAATCATGGATTGGTGTGCTACAACGCCCGTGTGAAGTGCTTCAGAGTCTGGATGTTTGCTCTAGTGTGCTTTCCAGGTTCTGGAAAGGCGGTCTTGAGGCAGGTGATGTGTAACCTGCAAATCATGGATAAACAAGGAAATACAAATAATGGGAGCAGGAAGGGAGGGGAGGAATACAGAATGGCGGAGGAGGTGTCTGCCGGGGGAGGGCAGGGTGGAAAGCCAGATAAGGTTTCTCTGCAGGGGTGGCCGCGCAGTGCCGTTAAGCTGGAGGTGGATGGGCTCGTCCTCTTGCGATAGCCCTTGGGGTGAGCAAGGACAGCCGGAGCAGAGGTTTCCTGAGTCTGCGTGGGCAGTGTGATGGATTCCGGTTGAAATTGAAAAAGCCCACAAGAAGTGGCTGGGAAAGCCAGCGTGGAGCGTTGTTTTGTACTTCATTTATGAACTCCGACAGGAATTCACGCAGGCTGCTGCCCGTGCTGCGCAGCGAGAGAGGCGAGCGGCTGCGTTTGCGTAAATCCCAAAACAGAAGGCAGACGATGGTGCCTTATTGCGTGGATAAGGCTGGCAAGCTAGCGAGGCGTGCTCTGGTAACTTAGGCTGGTTTTAGTTGGAGTGTGCTTGAACCTGTTTGGATGCGTTTTCTGTTTAAAATCTACTTACCAAGTGACTCAGGCCTTTCCACCTTTGTTTTGAGCACGTAGCCTTTTGTAATTTGGGACTGAGCTGCTCTGTTCCATTGCCTGCTTTCTTTCTGGTGACTTTTTTTATTCTAAAATGTGACTTTTTCTCTGTGATCAGTGCCACCAGCGTGGCAAGGCAGAACCACGTGAGCACCTTAGCGGTTGAGGCAATATTGACTAATATTACTTAGATAGAGACAGTTGAGCTGACCCGATCACAGAAAATGTCTTTCGAAATGGAAATGATTGCTTTGTCCTTCTGAGTAAATGTGTGTTTGCTTCAGGGCCAAATTTCAGAGCTTTTTGTGGTGTTAATGAAGGGCCCGTTGATATGGCTTCGCTGTGCATACTGCTGATCCTCCGGGGTGAAACGGAGATCTGCATAAATCAACAGATTCTATTATTTTGATATTGAAATACGGCACCAAGTAGAGGCCTGGCGATAACGCCTGATGCCTACGCAAATCCTTTGTCTCTGTATATGCTGAAAGCAGATGTATAGATATAGCAGTGTTGCGAGTGCGTGACGTACCAGATGCTGGCTGATGTCCTGCTCTGAGAAAGTGTCTGTGCTGCCCTTTCCTGAGACTGGCTGCTTGTATAACTCTCCCAGGCTTGTGGGAACGGTGGTGATTGATGTTCCCCTACAAGTACTGTTTTTAGGAGCTTTTGAGGATGTTCATTATGAAGGTGATGGCTCTGTCTAAATCTTGGAGCAGCCCTGCAGCATCTGAAGAAAAGCTGGCGGTATAAGGTTTGGTTTGAGTCGCCAGCAATTACCTTTCCTTGCAAGCGGGGTGATGTTATGCGCTATCAAATCATGTTGCTAGCTCTGACCAGAGCGCTCAAAAACCTGGCATTGCTTTGTATTTCTTCCAGATCACTCTGAGAAGTGAAATCCCAGGACGTGCCCAAGCGCATAGTTCAGTAGGGATCAATTTGATTTTTTTAATGCAGTTACCCAGAACTGAGAGCCACGGCAACATCCTTGCTGGGCTAAAGCGTTGCCACCTCCCTGAGGGTGAATTTGCTGCAATGGATGTCTCTTCTTGTCCTCTCCCCCCACACCCTGGCAGGGGGTAACTCAGTTTGCAAGTCTCTGCTGCTGTAAATAAAAGTACTTCCAGTAACATGGAAATGTGGAAAGTCAGTGGGAGGCTTGCTGGGGTCAGGATTTCCCACCTGTATGGGAGTGCGTGGCCAGAGGCCTGGAACTTTTCTAATTGAAGTAACATATTAATGAAGGGCAGCTGTGTCTGGCACCAGAGGTAGCTAAATAATGTTTGGAGGAGGTATTGATGGCAGATATTGATTTAGTTCATGTGCTAAAGTCTGTGCTGGGTCAGTGTTGAAGTAGCTGGGTGCATCATGATTTTGAAATGTCTGGAGAATAATAGGATCCCTTGGGAACCAGATGCCCTGCTGAGCCGCTCCGTGCTGTTAGCCACTTCAAAGTGGGGATAAAGGATTAAGTAGCAACTTTAACCAAAAGATTGTAGAACTGTACTTAGGCTTTCAAAAAAACCCAAAAACGCAAAAAAGGCAGTGGGAGGAGGAATTAGTCATGTTTACTTCTGTCTGTACCTGCTTATTTTTATCCCATAAACTAGTTTCAAAGCTCATACTGCCGTTTCCCGCTGGGATTTTTTTACTGAAGTGTTCTCCAGAGGGAAGATCCCTTGGGAGGCATGTGTGTGACTTAGCAGCTATCGAGACCCAAGCTTACACTTCCAGCTTTCCGTGCATGTAAGGCTGGATGCTCCCTTGCATTCAAAACAGTCTGGGAAGGCCTCAAGTCCTTTCTTCCTCACTTCTAGGTAACTAGGAAAAAAAAAAATCACGCTGAATTTACCTAGTTGTTCTTCCCAATGTAGAAAAGTGACGATGGCTAAGGTAGTCTTAGGTGGTGTTTGGCAGTTGTATGCAGTGGGAGGGGTCTAGCTGTAGGCAGGAGGTGTTTGCATTTATGAAAATAAGCAGCTTCCTATCCTGGTGTGTGACGGAGAGAATGGATCTACCAACTCATCTAGGAGTGTCTCACTTTCAGATCCCATACGTGCTGTTGGTGGTTTGGCCTCCAGTCGAAGCTCGTCAATGACAGGTACCGCTATCTCGTGAAAATGAGAGACATCTAAATATGTGTATCTTTTTTATTTCCCTTCTAGGTTCTCACTGGAGCTGATATTCTAGTAGAATTCAGCTATGCAGACGATCAAGTGCGTAGTCGTAGGTGATGGTGCTGTTGGTAAAACCTGTCTCTTAATTTCTTACACAACAAATAAATTCCCATCGGAATACGTACCAACGGTAAGTGAGAGAATGGCTCCGCTTGTTCTTTGGGCATGGTGGGCTTCCTTCCTAACTAACCTTTGTGGCATGCACGCCTTAATACTTGTTCTTATAGCCTGCTTTCCTGTTGGAGACTGACTAATATGTCATGGAAAAGTAATGATCAGTGCGTTTGGTGCACCGCTGCTGCCCATCTTTCGCGTTACCTGGTAGTGCTGGGATGCCTCTCCTGTATCTGGTCAGCTCTGTTCGTTGCTGGCCACCAGCTGGATTCTGTGAACAAGATTATTTGCAGTTGTTAGGGCTGCTAAGTGGAGAGCAAGCAGCAGGAGCACCTGCTCTCCAGCTTGCGCTCTCAGTTCTTGCCACATCTTCATTTTCAGGGAAAGTAGTTTTTGTCGTTAGTTTTATGTTGCTGGAATAGTCGGTGACTGCAGTTAACGCATTCTGATGCTCATTTTTGCTTTGCAACTCTGAAAGATCCGGAGGTCATGCAGTGAACTATGGAGCGTGGCTAGTTATTTCTCACATGCTTAGCCGGGGTCATGTTTGGATCTAGACTGCCCAGTCTCATTAATTTGTAATTCCAAACACTTGTCAACTTTGTGCATCGTCCTTGACTATTGCTGAGTAAGCTTTTTGAGTCTTGCAGGCTCAGTTTTCTGAGATACTGAATCGCTTGGCTTATCTAAAGATCAAGTTGGGAGCAGTTTGCCCACAAGGAACATGTGCATTACCTTTCTAATACAAAAGTGCTTTGCTTGTTAATATTGCATATGTAGGATCAGCGTGCTGACGCTGGTGGTTCATTTTTTTTAGTGAGGTTGCCGCAAGAGGCTTTGACATCTGGATGCTCTTCTTATTAGTTTTCTCTGTTACGGACCTGAAAAGGCCATCTCCTACACCTACACAAATTGAAGAGTTTATCCAGATGCCTCAAACAAGTTTGGGGCTGGAAATGCATCGCAAGGCGGTTGAATGCCTGTTGGTGAAAGGGTCAATGATCCTTTCTGTTACTGTGAAGCAGCTTAAAAGAACAGATAGCTCCTCTGAGATGCCGGGTAGCTCCTGCCTGCTAGCTCTGGCAGAATAACTACTTCTTTATAAAGATGTCCTCTCTTTGTGGAAAAGAAGTCGCAGTGAACTTCGTTGCCTTTTTTTGAGGTATTGGCTTTGTACACTATCCAAAGATCTTCAACGTTAGAGGCTTGTTAGGAATAGGACAGACTTCCACAGAACAAAAATGTTTGTGTTTAGTTGTAGATCTGGAACTAAAGATGAAAGGACTCCCAAAGCCGAGAGTGCTCAGGTTGGATGCAGTAGCCACTGTTACGAACCCGAGGGCTGTGCTGTAGGCATGGAGACCCACGTTCAGCCTCACGGAGATCCTCTCGTTAAGGACTGGTAGAGAAGAAGTTGTGTTTGAAACTGCGTTTTGCCATTCTCAAGTTTTTGAGAGTGGTACCGAGTACCCTGGTGTGATGCTTCTCGGACAGCCACATCCCGTGCTGAACCTGGGGAAGTCTGCTTGCCCTATTTAAGCTATTCCTTATGGACCGGACAAAATGAAAGTGGTCATGAGTTCAGGCAGTGAGTGTTTCTATGCTTAGCCTTAGTGAAGTGACCCTTAATTATGATGAAAAATGTTAAATCTTAAAAATGTGTATTTTGAAACCTTGTGAGTTTGTCTGCTGTCCTGCAGATGGTAGTACTGTCTACAAATCCCTGCTAACAAGCAATATGGAAAAGCTCCTCAAAGAAACGACGTTACTTACCAGTAAAGTGTGGTCAAGGTGTGCTAAGGTGCATTTTTAGTGCCTTTTAAACCTGTCCCATGTTTCTGGAATAGTATTTACCTCAGCTTCATGGCTTGAGGAACTCGCTGTTCTGGGGATATCACAGGCCTATTCCTCACTCTCTGTATGGCCTAGAGGTGTATTTCAAACTCTGGAAACTGGTAAGGAACCTCTGATATTCTGGCTCACGCTTCTGGTAATAAACAAGCAAAGAGATACAACAGATAGCATTGTTCCCAAAATGAAAGCAAGCTGTCTGAGAGTCGACAAGCCTTAATATCCCCAGAACGCTTGTGGCTGAATCAGGACCCTAGGGTGAAGTGGGCAGGACTCAAACTGCTTAACAAAAATGTTTAAGCAGGAAAAGAACCTGGAGATAAATTTCTGATTTTGAGAAGCTGGTAAATACTGGTGGTAGCTCAGGGCCAGCGTACTGACAAGCACCGGGGATCCAGTTGCAACAGCTACTGCCGAGTCTCTCTTGAGAGGAAGGTGGCAGCCTTCTTCCTCGAGGGTGGCCAGGGATTCGGGGCACAAAGCAGTTAGCAGAAGGCAGGGGTGCTTTAGCAAATCAGTAACAGTCTGGCTTCAAAGCGAGCTGCTCTGCGTGCGTAGGCGCTGGAGCGGCTGCTGTAAACCAGCCTTTGCCCCGCGTAGCTGTGCCGTGCAGCACTGCGGCCAGACCATCAATGGAGAATGCACCAGTTCCGGCTGATGGATGAGTTTCTTTCGCTTGGCTCTGTGTTTTGCAGCTCTCTCTCTTTTTTGAGGATATTTCTCAGCGGGAGATGGGTTTCGTGCTGGTGCCGCACATGGTTTGTCACCTGCATGTTTTTGATGTCGTTGCCATTCTCAAAAAAGGCAGCGAGGGGCAGGTCCGTGGAAAGGCGCTGGCGGGTCAGGTGCGAGTCCTCTAACATGAAAGCTCGTGCCACCTGCTGTAGTGGGCTGTCTGGCACTGGCAGGAATCAAAACTTCTTGTTGGGCTAACTGTTGCTCTGGTTTTTAGCCCGTTTGGCACAACTGAGGGTGAAACTGTCATGGATTACGCTATGAGGCTGTAGTTGCCAGGTTCGCCTGAAGGCTAGCCTTGTAACCCTGGCCTCCTGAGGGCTGGACCCCAGACCTCTTCAATAGTGGCTGTACGAAAAAAAAAAATAAAAATCCCATTTTGCAGATAGGGAGCTTAAACAAATAAAAAAACCCACCAAACAAACAAAATGTGAGGGAAGATGCCTGCTAATCCTCCTCACGGGCAGCTACAAGTAGTATTATTGACTTGCTGTTCTCTGGGCAAAAATGAGGGGATGTCTTTGGAGGATTAAGCTGCCGTCTTCTGACATCTGAAAGAGCAAACGCGCTGACCTTCAACGCAGAGCATGCCGGTTTCTCGTTCTGTACCTAGCAACAGATGAGCTCTCATGCTGACCGGCCCTCTGGAGTCTTGAAGTTGTAGTCGCTGCGTATTGATACGCCCTGTGAAATGCCTTCCACCCTTCTCCAGCCTGAAGATCCTATTTGTAGCTGGATGCTTTCTGGGGTGTCCAGTAAGGCAAACTCAGTGCAATGTGTAAAGGATTGGGCCGCAGGTAATGGAGATGAATGTTGAAATCTCCTGCGGTACTTTAAAATCTTGAGTGCTAATCCAAAATAGCGTGAGAGGTGGGCTGCTGCTCCTAGCTGATGTTCCTGGGGATATGCAGCGTGCTGTGGCCGTAGCGGCTTTCTCAGATGCTGTGAGTTGTGACAAGTTGAAAAAATTAGTGGGGTGTCGGGTATTGCTTTAACCAGGACTGTCACTTGGAAGGGGGACAGACCTGAACTCTTGGAAGGTCAGCTTTGAAGTGCTGTCTCGCTGGTCTTAGCTCAGTTTTTGGTGGGATTTTTTTCAAGGACCTAAGCTCTTACTAAAGCTGTGTTAATAGATGCATGTGACTGCTTCTTTCTCCACGTCCCTCCCTCCTCGCTTCCATGAAAAGCTTTTGAGATGATTGCTGGCCTCTTCAATGTTGGGGTTTACTTCAGCTGCGGGAGCTGCTCAGACTTCAGGTTTGTGTTGAAGCAGAGCTTCTCTAGTCTTACTCGGAGATCTCGACTGTCTCTCAATCACCTTGCAGCGCAGTATGCAGGGACAGGCTGGGTTCTTTTACAGCGGGAAGGATTTTTTGCCAAAGGTAAAATTCTAAAATACTGTCTATTGCAGTTCTGAAGGTAAAAGTTATTGAAATTAAGGATACTGACCTCGGGCAGTATACTCCTTAATGCTGAGTATGTGGATGTTGAAGGAGAAGGCTTTGGGTAGGTCCTCGTGCTCAGTTGTGTTGTCAACAAGTTAGCGGGGAAGTATTTTTGGTAGCGTTAGCTACCCCGTGTAGCAGGCCTGCCCTTGAGGACAGGACGGCTGTGCCAGATGCTGTAGAGAGACAGTATGACTTGGTCTTCTGGAGCTAGATTCTCCATTCAGATTGAGAGCGAATTTGACACAGACTGGTTTTGACCAACTATATTGCTTCCTCCAAAGATGGAGGAGAAATTCCTGTTGAAAAGGTGGGCTCTGTGTTGGATTCCCTAGATGCTTGGAAAGATGAACTTCAGGGGACTCGGGTCCTGTGAGAAGCAGCCCGTAGCTCTGTGCCCTGAAGAGCAGGGCTGACGTTTATCGGCTCTGCCTTTACTGTGTCAGACCAGGTGCGAAGGTTGAAATTTCTGTGGTGGTGTGGGAAACCTCTGCAATTACAGGCAAGAGCTGGTGCAGGTGTTTCGTTCAGTGGCTTTTGCCCTGTTATATGCAGTGGTGCACCTAGTGTGCCTGTGCTTTAGATACCTCATGCAAACAGCTCTTGCATCCCTGTTCCAAATTAAATTGTCCTGTTAACAGCCTTCATGGTAACAGCATTGTCAGCTTAATGGCTTCTGTTATCCTGTGCAGATGACTTGTGCAAATCGGAGGCTGTCTGTCAAGGTGAGTAGGATGATGGTTTGAAAGATGGCTTATTCACATCCGCTTAAATGTTTCTCTTTTCTTACCAGGTTTTTGATAACTATGCTGTCACGGTGATGATTGGAGGAGAGCCTTACACCCTAGGCCTCTTTGATACTGCAGGTGAGAAATCGAGTGCTTGTCTCCTTGTAACTGCCCAAGATTTAGTTGAGGTGATGTTGAACATGAAGACATACAGTTGGTTCTTTTTTTTTTTTATGAAAGGGAAAAATTTTTCTTGATTCTTCTTTCCTGGCCTTTGGGGAGTTGCTAAATTGAGTTTATTAAAAAAAAAAACAAACCACAAAACAACAAAACCCAAACCAACCCCAAAACCCAAACCAAGAAAACCTTCCACTTCTTTTAGAGCTGTTTTATTTTGTGACACCAGGTGACAAGTTTCAAACTTTCACCTCTAATCTAGGCGATACATAAGGGGTTTATATGTTTTTAAACAAAATTAAAGGAGACAGTTGTGTGGAATAAAATATGTGGATTGTATGTGGTTTTTGTTTAGTAAACAGCCCATTTTTTTTGACCAAATGCCAAGACAGAATGACTAACATCAGAACATCTTAGATGTGCATGTGGCGTGTCTCTGCCTTCTTAACATGGATGAACTCAGGATGTGTGGAGTTTCAGAAGCCCTCTCACTGTGTGCTTTTTTTAAAAATTAAAAATAAATCTGCACGCTTCTTTGTTTATGGTTATTAGAGTGTATCTCAGTTTCTGGCTGGAGAAATGTACAGTGGTTAAACAGCCGCGCACATGGCTTTGCACGTGTGAAAATTTAGCAAGAAAGGGTAGAAACTGGTACAACTGCTAGTTACCTGGTCCCCAGCCCGTAATAACACCGAAGCGGTACGGCAGCATCTGGTATTGTAAACTCTCCCTCAGGAGAGTCCTTCCAGAGAGCTTAGTTGATAAGCTGTTACCTAAAATTGTCTTGATAGAACTTTAATCTGACTGTTTGCAGCTGTATTCTTACAGATGCATTATTGGTGTCTTATTTGATTAATGAAATGATCTTACGCTTCCAAGTAAACACTATAACTTCAATTAGCTCTTCACATTCTTCTCCCAAATGTGATTTGTGCGTCAGTTATTGCAAGCTCATGGGTAAGGAGAGAGGAGAGGCTCCTTCCTGACACGTGTTGCGTAGGCTGCTGTAGGGACAAGTACTTGGATGGCTCAACTACAGCATTCCGGTACCTGCAAGGGTAAAAGCTGCGTTACGTCCTTCTCTGCCCGTTTTCTTGCTGAGGTCCTCTGGGTCCAGGCCTGTGGAAACTGGTGTGTGTGTGTGTAGATACGTGTATCGGTGTGCTGTCGATCAACGTGAGCGCAGAAACCCATCTGGTAATTGTGGAAGCTTACCGAGTGGCTTTAGTGTGTGTAGGTGACTCGACGCACTTGTGAATATAAAGGGTTTCCTTTCTGAAGTGGGAGCCTTTTGTTCTTTAAAGGTCACCTGCTTTTTGCTAAACAGTAGCCAGCACAAGTTACAGAACTTAACAATGGATAAAACTCCTATTACTAGCTGTCAAATTAAAAAAAAGTCTTTGTTTTGAACTTGTGCTATGAAGACAAAGCTTTTTGGAGTAGTCTCTTAATCGCAACAAGGTATTTTGGTCAGTGCTTAGCTCCTCTGTGGCCAGCTAAGCATGATAGTTGTAACAAGACCTCCGTCCTCAAACTGTAGATCTTGCTCTACTGAGATGTCATAGGAAGCATAGAACCGTCGAATGGTTCAGGTTGGAAGGGACCGGTAGTGCCAGGCTTGTGTCAGGTTTGTTTTCTAAAAACAGATTGCTATCGAATTGTTCTAGTGAACAAAACTGCCTTTTTTTTTTTTTCCCTCCAATCTGTGGGGGTTTTGCAGGGTAATGAAATTTGATGGCATGATACTTCTAATGAATGGACTAGGTGCAGAAGACCTCACTAGAACCAGATCCATGTTCTGCGGCTTTTCATTATAAGTGAGGGAAGTCTGAGGGTGTTCAATCTAAAAATTTATTAGAGCGTACCCCTATCAGACTTCCCAGCTCTCCTGTGACTGTAAGCAGCTCGTGGTTACATGGCAACTGAATGAATTCTGTATTTGAAAATGATGATCTTTGAATGTTTGGGTTCAGGGCACGTGCATTTGCTGAAGCGTTAGGATTAATCACGATAATGCTATCGTGCTGGAATACGCATTCTAACCACCTTTAAGGGGCAGTATTTCAGTGTCTGGGTTTAATACTGTGTTAATTTTCTCCTCTTCTAGGTCAGGAAGACTATGATAGATTACGACCCCTCAGCTATCCACAGACAGATGTATTTCTGGTCTGTTTTTCAGTGGTGTCTCCTTCGTCATTTGAAAATGTGAAAGAAAAGGTTGGTCAAGCTCTGCCTAAAAAGGGAGCTGCTGCAGTGATTTCAGAAACATCTGAGGAGTTATCTTAGGTGGTTAGTAACAAATATTGTCTTCTCTGTCTTTAGTGGGTACCTGAAATTACTCACCACTGTCCAAAGACTCCTTTCCTGCTTGTTGGGACCCAAATTGATCTAAGAGATGACCCCTCAACAATTGAGAAACTTGCCAAGAACAAGCAGAAGCCCATAACTCCAGAGACGGCTGAAAAACTGGCCCGGGACCTGAAGGCTGTCAAATACGTGGAATGCTCTGCACTTACGCAGGTGAGGGTTGGTCTTTGACCATTTTCGCTTGCTTGTACTCCATGCTTTTTTTCAGTTACAGGGAAAACCAGCTCAATATGGACGTGCAAGGGGATGAGCTCTGTTTCTGCTGGTGACACAGGAGCTTTCTCTTTGTCCTGTTGTTCCAAGGTACAAGGATTTGGCAGTGGTAGAAAGAAAATCAGCCTGTGGAAATTAGGCATAGTGTAGAGGGGCGATGGAGGATGATGTGCTTGCTGTGTTTGCTTTTCTGTTGGAGGAAAATAGCTATTGAAAACTTAGAAGGTGTCTTAGGGACAATAAGTGGGTCAGGACACAGAATTGCGGCTCACTGCTGATGGGAGCAAGCAAAGAAAAACCCTCTCAGAGAAGTCAGCTGGGGTACTTCTAAGCCTAGAAGCCTTCGTACTTGAGAGCTGCTTTCTCTTTCTGTGCAGCGGCGGTGAGCTGTTTCCTGTGTCTGCCTTAAGATGGAAGTTCTGTTGAAACAGAAAATACCAATGAAATAGTTCTTAAGGCATAAACGTGGTGATGTTGTGTGAACTAACTTGTGAACTTGTCTAAAGCCAACTAAAATAGCTGATGTGAGGCCAGGAAACCTGATTATCCTTTCCCTTCAAGTTAGGAATACTAGGATGGGGTGGGATGGGAGCCATCGGCTGGCTAGCTGGCGTGTTGCCTTGACTTTGGATGCCCTGGGAGCTTAATCTTGCGTGCCTACTCTTGCAGAATTGACTACAACTCTTTAACAATTTCCTTAATGCTACTCTGTAAAGGACTTGTCCCCTGATGTGCATGGCACCAGGGGTGCACGGTATCAAGTCCCTCGCTCTTTTCAGATTTGTTGCGCATTCCTCTCTAATATCTTGAGCACAAAGCTTTATTGCTAAACTTCACGAAGCTTGAAGTTCCGCTTGTCTTGCACCTTTTGCCCAGATTGCATGTTGACTCTTCCATTTGGGATCCTGAGTCTCTCTTGTTTTGTAACAAAGCTTTGCCTGAGCGTTTGCTGAGAAGGAAGAGGCCTTTGATGGAGTTGTGCAGGACTCTGGCACCGGAGGTGCTGTGCCGAGGCCCGCTGCAGTTCATCCTGGGGATCCTGATCAAAAGGTGGTCTTGGCTGCGCTTCCTTACTGCCCGAGTGCAAGCTGAGGGTTATTTGTGCTTAAGCTGTAATTCTCTTAGATCCCTTCAGTCCCCAAATACCATTTTAGATGGTGTCTGGCACATCCTGAATGCTGCTGCTAACGAGGCCGTAGAACCTGCTAGCTGGTTAAATACATACCAGGACTTCTTGTCCTGTATTGCTCACTGAGACCCTTCCCTCTGTAGCTTTACACTTGCCTTGTTTAGTCTGCTCATATCGCATGGAAGCACTTACAATTACCAGAGTAAGAGCTGATATGATTAAAAATTTCAGTGTTTGTCCATTCTTTTTATTTCCAGATAGACTAAACTGTATCTGTTGCAGAGAACAGCTTTATGCACTTGGAAGCTCAGCCTGAATTTCTTCAGAGCACTAGTGCTTGTATACCCATTGATGGTTTTAGGAATCAAGAATAACCTGGGAGGAGGGTTCAGAAGCTTTCTCACCTGGAAGACTAGTCGGTTTGCATCTGCTCTATTCTTCTTCCCTCATTTGTTGTTGACTCCCCTCACAAAACACCTCTTTCTCAGTCTGTCAGGAGCAGCTGCCAAACAGAAATGTAGATTATCTGCAAAGGGTTGTTTCAAGTTCCCGGCGGTGATCTAGCTGGCAGCAGCTTGCTAAACACAGCAGTCTGGCTTTCCTAGCCAGGAGGGTTGTTTTCCTACCTGCAAGGCAATGTTGTAGTAGCTGGTTTCAACCGAAGCTAGACTCAGCTGGGTAGTTCAATCTCTCTTTACCTTGGCTTCTGTCTACGCAGTTCACCTCAGCAGTCTAGGGTGGTTTTTTCCTTCCCAACCAATTTAAAAATGTCTTTGACAACACACTAGCAAGTAATCATAAAATCATGGAGCCGGAGTGTGGGTTGTTTTCTTTCTTTTTTTTTTTTTCCCCATGGGAGGAAGAATTTGCTTGTCTGTGTGGAAGAGTCGGTGTTCTGAAAGTACTAGGTGAGTCGTAAGAGTTTGAGTCTTTTCTGTAGAGACAGAATATCTTTTCTTCCCCGAGTTTGGATGACCGCCGTACCGAGGAGTCAGGTCTGTCCCCCCTTTCCTCAGGTTGTGGAATCCCTTTTTGTGATGAAGGCACTTTAGGTGTCTGTCTCCAACCTTGCTCTGCAAAATAGCACCCAGTACCGCTGTAAAGAGCGCGTAACCCTTTGCTGTTAGGAAAGGGCGACTGACAAACAGATTACAACTGAAATGATTGCTGCTTCTGTTACACTTAGGAGTTAAATGTCTGAGCAGACTTCCTGAAGCTCAGTGCTAGTACCTGACACAAGGGAGAACTTTGAATTCAGTTCCTTTTTTCCCCCCCGATGTTGGGTTGACAGTTTTGACCCAGGCAGATTTATAAAGTGTCTTAAACTGCCCGTGAACGGAGGGGTAAGGGGAGCCTGAGCACAGGCTGTTCCCCAGGAGCGCAGGAGCCGTGTGTCTTTAACGGGAGCCTCGAGTGCCAGTGGTGTCGAACGCAGCTCCCTTCATGTGGTTACTCTCCTATCATCCGGGCTTTTAACCCCAGTCCCATTTTCCTAACAGTTTTGTCCCTGTCCTGTTTTTTTCTCCTCTTCCCTTATCCTAATTTTTTGCTGTGTCCTTCAAAATAAATCCCAAATTCTGTTCTCTTGAACAAATTAATTTCTCCTGTGCAATAGGCAAACAAAAGAGGAGTCCCCCAGTAGGAGAATTAAGGACGCATGTTTTCTTGACTCTTGCCCTGCCTGGGTTCTTAATCTATCTAACAGTACATAATTGAGTTTATACTACAGCCTTATTGTCGCAGAGAAAGAAAATCCAATTAGTACTCAGGCTTCACATAAGCATTATTTATTTGAAGTTTCTAGCTCTTCTGTCAGCCTGGGTTGCAACTCATTTTTAAATAAAAAAGTTGCTGGGGAGGATGTACAGAATGACTGTACGTGGTAATTTCCTTAACTTCTGTTCTTTCAAGTATAATATTGCATGTAACGTGATGGACTTAAATGCTTCCAGATGGAATTGCCTTAGAGATCTCCCATGTATGTGCTTCAGTAAAACAAGATTAAAGACCTTCTAAAAGGCATATATCCTGTCTAGCCTGTGAGGGAGAAACCCGTTACATTTGAATGATTGAAAAAAAATCTTAATTTTGCAAAGGCTACAAGTGTTTACAGGAAGTAATTTAAGCTTTTCTGTTTGCCTTTAGCTGTGACAAAGCAGTTCTTCTGAATGTATGAAGGTTGCACTCATGACAGTAGATTTAGGCGAGTCCAGTTAGCATAAACCGTGCCAGGTTTCGCTTCTGGCGTTGCGTGCCGCTGGGCAGCGTTGTGTGGGAGCGGTAACGCGCCGCAGCGTCCTGTCGCGCTTACAGCAAACGCAACGCATGCTTCGTGCTCCGGTGCGATCCCCGCAGGCTCCCTGCAGCTCTGTGACGCCTCGTCTGGGGTTGGATCTCAGTTATTCCAATTCCTAACGCCGTTTCTGTCTTCCCGTGACTCGAGTTGGTTATACTTGCTTTGGTAACTAAACGGAATAACTGAAACGCACCGTTTCCCTGCTGGCTCTCAATGTCAAAATAGCCGCACTGGTAAGGTATTGCATCGCTTCTGAAAAGACTGATAGGCGATGTCTGAAGATGACGATGGCTTACCAGAGAGGTCCTGCTTCGATCCCAGATGTTTTCCCAGCCATCTGGAGATCTTCAGTTATTCAGGGCTGAATTCACAAAGCAGAGGTGTGGTTCGGAGCCTTTGCTCCGGCCTAGCTGCCGCTGGGGTACTTGGGACCAGTAAGTCCAGGCGCTTGCTTAGCCGCAGTGGGTGACTACCAGAGGTTTACCTGACCTTCTGGAGCCCTGCGGTGGGGCAGGCTGCTCTGCTGTTTATTCCCCTGTAAACTCCCGAAGTGTGTGTTCAGCAGTGAGGTGGAAACCACCATCTTTTGTGAGCCCCTCCCACCCCGTGCTCTTGCCGATTGCCGCTGTGTTTGTGCCTCTGCCCTTCTGGGTGTTCGTTCTGTCGAACTTGGTCCATCACATGGTCTGTCTGTCTGTCTCTGACACTGACTTCTGGGGTCATCGAAATGAGGTTTCCTGCTGGGATCTACTTTGTTTTTTTGCAAAGTAAATCTGTTTTACTGCCTCTGTGAATTCAGCCCGGTCTATCCTGAATGCTCTTTGTATCTGCTTGTTTCTCTCTAATCCGCTAACCTGGCTGCTGTTTTTTCTCCTCCCCTCTGTCTTGTAGAGAGGTCTGAAGAATGTGTTTGATGAGGCTATCCTAGCTGCCCTCGAGCCTCCGGAAACTCAGCCCAAAAGGAAGTGCTGTATATTCTAAACTTTCTCCTTCCCCTCTTGCTGCTGCTTCCTCTGTCCCACTACTGTAGAAACCTGGTTAAAAAAATGAATAAAACCACCTTGATTGAAAGCTGTTGTGTCTGCTTACCATCTTAGAGCAACCTCTGTATTAGCTCTTGGACTGAAAACAATACTTAAGATATTTAGTAAAACGTTGTGACCGTGGAACATGAACTGGACTCGCTTAACTCTCTGCTGCTTGGGTTGCCAGATGTGGGTAGCTTTATAATTCAGGCTGTTGGGGAAAGGATCTGGTTACATCATTATTTAAAGAAAGATCAAAAGACTAAGACATGATGTTTGATCTTCCTGAATCCAACTGGAAGAAACAATGCGTGTTTTTTTTCAATTTCTACTTGTGACTCTTGTTAACTGTATTTGCATGACAAAAGTACATGAAATGGTGATCTGCAAGTTACGCTGTAATGTGAAGGGTTTTCTGGTTCTCCTTTGTGCAGTGAGATGTTTTTCTGTTGCTGTTGCTTTGGCTGTCTGTGCTGTAGTGGAGTATTTGTCAGTCCTTGGGGGGAAGGAAATATCAATGTACTTGCTACTGCTTTATGAACTGTTAAAATTCTTGCTTTCACTAACATGGTAGACCTCTTCATTTCAATAATAGATCCTTAAAGCCTGTTACTGTAAGATGTAAAGCTGCTTCTTACTCTCATGCTTCTGATTTTTATTGTTTTAAGGAGAAAACATCAATTGTAGCTTGTCTTTCAATTTTGAAATTAAAAATTGCAGTTGTTTGTATAAATGACTGATGAAGCTTTATTCCGATTTGCACTTCCTGGCTTCAGTTTAACACTTAACGCCACGTACAGTCCCCGCTCCGTACTCCTCCCATCGTGACTTCGCTGGTACCACGCACACCTTCTGGGCTCTGCCTGGCTGCTCCGAGCCGTCGGGTGAAGCCTGCCCAGAGCGTGTACCGGACCGATTTATCGTTGCATGCTTGCCTTGTCTCTTCTCTCCCCTGACACGCGGGTGTCTGCGCTGCGCTACCCGGCGTGCTCCAGACCGAGCGCTTCCATTTGAATGCAGCACTTTCTGCTTTGTCCTTAGCATGTGAAATGTGTGAGCAGCCAACTAATCATAAAAATTGCCTTGAGGAGATGACTTTGGTACCTGTGTTTTTGCTTCTTGTGAAGTATACTGGTCTGGTCTCAAAGGATATGCGTTCCTGTTCAGAAAATCGGATGCTGTGCGAAGGAACCGCTGACCACAGCGACACGGCTTGGACAGAGCCTAGCTGAGCAAAGGAGACTCTGGGAGTTGTAGGTGGCAAGCCTCGGTCTGTCGTTAGAGGAATTTGTCTGCCACTTGGCTGTCTGTGGTTTTGTTTGTGTGAAAACTCAAAAATGAGACTGCCCCTTTCTCTCTTTGCCCCTTTTCAGAAAGGCCTAAAGAATGTATTTGACGAAGCGATATTGGCTGCCCTGGAGCCTCCGGAGCCGAAGAAGACTCGCAGGTGTGTGCTGCTATGAACGTCCCTTCACAGCCCCTTCTGCAAAGCTGGTGTTTGATGTCATACTAAAAAGCAATGTTTAAATCAAACTAAAGATACAAATTTTAAAATTTGTTTTCGCAATAATGACGAATGCCCTGCACTCCCATCTCCCTCACACGATCCCTGTGCGAGATGAGAATGTTAGCCTTTATTCCCCAGTGCCCCCTCAATTCAGTTAAACTAGTTAATTTTGAGTAATTATGTATTCTCAGAAAACACTGATCAGTACTAGTTTTTTATTTTGTTCACTGTTTCTAATTTTTTTTTTTTGTTTAAAATCCAGGCATGCTTGTGATGACTTTTTCTGTAACAGACTAATTCTAGGCTGTTTTACTGAAGCCTTGTCCCTTATGCCAGTCTGGCAAGACTTGCTTCTGGTTTCAAGAACTTCTAGGGCTGTTCTGCAGCCAGCCAGCAGCCTGGGCGTGAGCAGACTTCAGTACTAAAGTACTAAAGGAAAGTAAAGGAAGGGAAAATACAGTAGAATACAGAAGGTAAAAGAAAGTTAAATACAGGAAAGTAAAATGTCCCAAGCTGGTGCTCCTCTGAGGAGGAGTGTAGAAAACGTATCTGCATCTCCTCTGAAGTTGCCTTGTATCCCTTCCCCTGGCTTTCCACTGTGCAGGTCATAAATTTCTACCCCATCCTCTAAGTTATGAAGCCTTAGGAATAGGAGAATCCTTTTTCTCTGGATGCACCATCAGACTTGAAACTAGCTTGCCAGTCTCTTTCTTAACCTTGACATCATGAGCTTTTGTCACTTGATGAAGAAATAACTGCACCTTTTAAAGCATGCCCAACTGATTCAGTTGGCTTTTAACAACTCCATCTTCTGCCAATCCTTAATTATTAGAGACACGCTTACAGCGACCAGCATGTACACTGCTGTTTGGACACTCAGAAAGGACCTGGTGTATGTTAAGACGAGTTTTAGAGCTGGCCCTGGTGGTGCATCTCTTACTGGATGGCTTGGCATCCTGCAGGGAGGGGTGGAAAGGTAGACCTGTGGCCGGAGGAAGGAACTGCAGGGAGGGGTTTCTAGTGTTTAGTGTGGCACCATATAGGGACCAGTTAAGGGAATCCCCTTTTTCTGCATTTTGCTCGTAAGTAATCGTGAGCCTGGAGGACGGGCTCCAGCCTGCTGGGGATTGTGCGCAGGGTCTTTACGTAGACTGACTGCAGTGTCCTAGGGATTTTACCAAAAATATATTTTGGCTTGCAGATTCAAAATTTTTTTTTAAGACGTAGGGAATCTTCTCCATCTTCCAAAATTCCGATTTCTTGTAGACTCGTTAGTGTGGAACCAATGCTTTTTCATGTCTAAGTTCTTTGTATATGCATTCTTTTTGGATGTATTAAACATGGTATCTTGACAAGCCTGCCTGAGGGTAGTTATTTCCCTTGCCTTTCTCTTGAGTGTGAAGGACTTGTAAATGTGGCTTTTATCCCTTGCGAGCCCCGCTCTCCTCCTTGCAAGTTAGTTTGGGTCTTTCCTTAATGCTTAATCCTGTCGGTTCATGCCTTCCCCCGTCTCTGCTGCTGGCCTCAGTGCTGTCACGATTGCTCTAATCTTTGATGCGGCGTCTTTGCTGCCATACCCAACTCTGAACAGAGGGCACGGCGGTTCTTAACGAAGAGAATACTCGTCGTTGTGCCTGTTCCCAAATATTAAAAGTTGGCTTTTGGGGCTTATTGGGCTCTTGCACCTCTTCTGTCAAGAAGCCAGTCTCTCTGGAAGTTCCCTGTTGTTCCCTGTTCACGGGCAGATAGCAGAAGCCCTAAAGGAATAAGTGACACCGTACAGATCTCCCTCCCAAAAATGCACAGGATTTATTACACCTTTTTGTTAATTCAGCAAAGAAATGGTGGCGCCTTACACTGATGCACAATTTGTGTTAATTATTAAAACACCTTCCAAAGAGCCCTATTAAAGGTCACTTTTATTTTAAGAAGCTGACTTGTGGGTGCTGTAATCCAAAAGCTTAGTGTAAAATGCGTGCTTTCCGCTTTTCTTCGTGATTAATGCTGCTGTTAAACTTTGCAGTTCAGTTTCTAATTGCTGTCTTCTGCGGGGAAGCTTGGCTCGTGGGCCTGGCTCCCAGGTGGAAGCACCGCTGGTACTTGTGATGCTTGGTGAGCATCGGTGGCTGCTCCCTGTCCTTACGGCAGACTGACTGGTGCCCCAGGGATTGCCTGCGTGAAATCAGGCAGGAGACTCTCTCTGAAGTGGAGGGAGAACTCTTTAGGACTTCTGCTTTAAGTAGTTACCCTGTCAAGCTTTTGCTGTTCTGGATGCATCCTTACGTGGGGGTTGCCTATAGCTATCTGGTCCCTCTGTATACGTTTTCTGGCAGTGACCTGTGGCAGTCCTTTCACGCAGGTCCGTTTGGCTAAGCAATAAAGTCCGTTCTGTTAAATTGGTGCCACGAGGTTAAACTTGTCTCTGGAGGGAATTCTGGAGGCACTGGATAATGGAAAAACATCCTTTTCAAGGAGCGGTGCTGCTTCCTTCCTCTCAGCCTTGCATGAGCTTTGCAGAAGTCTGGCTGATAGCTCCCCGACTCTGCTAGTACGCGGCTGTCCCGCTCCAGAGAGAGGACGAGATGCTGGAGCTGGTAAAACAAGCTCAAACAGCTCAGCTTGCGGGCTGTTGAACACCGTGCCCTTCTTCTCTGGAGCTCAGTAGTGAGGTCCCTCTCAGGCCGGGGGTGTGAGATGTGCTCTGTGTTGGCAGGTTCTGTGGGCATAAGAGCACCTTGGTGACTGTCTCCCTTCCTCCGGGAAGGCGTGCAAAATGGGCAAAAGCAGGCAAAACCACCGCTTCCTTCCCCTTCTGGGAGTGCCGTTTCCAGCTAGCAGGTTTGAGAGCAAAGGTCTTGGAGGGAGGTGGGAATACTCGGCACTTCCCTTGATACTCGTGTGGCAAGCTAGCGTGTGGTATGAGCTGGGATTGCCTCACGTTCCTGCTTTTACAAGAGAGGACTCGCTTATCTGAAGATGTACCCGCAGCTCGGTGCTGTCTTCCTTCTCACCTGCGAGGATTCTTGAGGTACGCCTAAGCAGCTCGCTGGCGCAAATGGTACGTGAGGTCTGGGCTGGCTGCTTAACCGGCATGTGTTAATGGTGGCTCTTGTAAAGGGCCAAAAACCTCTGATGGGCAGGCACCTTAGAATCGTATTCAAATTGCTCCAGTGCTTGCATGGAAACCGGAGAGCAGCTTCTTGTTTTAATAGCTGGGACGCACAGCGATTTCTTAATGAAATCTTTCGGTTATGCGTGTAACTCTTCTATTAAACAGCCACTGACCCTGCACGAGGACTACGTTAGTGATTTCTGGTTTTTGGTTGGCTCTCATGTGAACCTCTAGTTCCTAATACTCAATCAGTTTTGCTTAAAACGAGTGAGCGGAGCTCTTGCTTCTGTTGGCTACTCCGAACAAGTGGCTCTGGGTATCTTTAGCAGCCGCTTGTTGTCTCTGAAGCAGCGATTGTCCCCTTTCCCTGCCTCGGCTGCCTGTTCCCGCACCACCCTTCACATGAGCTCCATTAAGCTGTGCGGGGAGACGAGTACATTCAGTAACTGCGCGGAAATGCACCATCTTGCAGGATACTTTCCTGCTGCCCTGGTGGCCTCTCCTGCCTGTTTTTCGTGGTCGAGCTGATGCCAAAATGACTGCGAGGGAGGAGGTAGGAGAACCAGATCTGATACAGAGGCTTAGGGAGGAGGTGGGAGCGTGCACACAGTCTGACCAGTTCAGCCGTAGCGGGTAAACAGCTGTATGCCGTGGTGACAAAGAGCATGAATCAGTTTGTTTTTCCACTGTGCTGTTGTCAACAGAGTTGGAATATGGAAATTGAGGATTATCAGCTAAATAGGCAAGTAGTTAGTGTGGAGAAAAGTCCCGCCTCTCTTGTAAGGGACATACCTGGATGAGAAGTCCAAAACCAGAGGTTGGACTCCAGGGTTGATTACTGGTGGGAAGGGTGCTCCAGGGCAGCAGTTGCTTTCCCGAGCAGCAGGTAACTTTAAGCACACCCTTACGCTCCCTCCCTCCCTTGCTGATTTAGTTAATACGTGGGAATTGCCCACTGCGTATAAGCTGATCTAACTAACCCTGCTGCTCCTGGTGCAGGCATGGTCTCTGCGTGGCTGCTGTAACTCAGACTGCTGCTAAGGTTGTGTTAAGCTAGTGGCTGTATTTTTCCCCGCTCCAAGCTTCCCTGTGCTGTGCCATCAGGAACGCGTTG